GAATCATTTTTCGCTCACCAATCAAGTGGAATCATCGGTTAATTTTTTAAAATTTTATTTATAGTAATTAGGAAGTATCATTAGTTAGGCTTTTTTAAAATTATATTTATAACAATTAATAATTGTTGACTCAATGTACTCCAAGAGCGGGTGAATTGGAGTTGAAATTTTTTCATCTCTTTGCAATCACCAAACAAAAATCAAAGAGAGAGTAGGAAAGAAGAGTTTACGTAATGATTTTATAAAGGTTTAGTTCAACCACTTGGAATCTAGTCCTCCACCTTGGCTTCACCCACCAAGGATTTCCTCCACATTCTCCACTAACAAAATCAAGGGTAGGTTAAAGGCGCCACTCAATCATTTTACAAGAAAAATGGTGTTTCTCTCAAATCTCACCATTTTACAAGATAAACTCAAACAATCCTCTCTACAAATCACTCTTGAAGGAATAATCACACCCCCAAGATCACTCACAAATAGAATAAGAAGAGGATTACAAGTAAAGATCTCTTAAAGATTAAAATCTCAAGTTAAAGCACAAGTTGGTAGGTAAAGATATTCAATACAATGCTCTTTAAAAAACTTCTTCCAGATCTTCTACCAACCATATTTATAACCCCATGGTCAAAAATAGCTATTACTAGCTGTTAACGGTCATTTAATGCTCTGCAGGTCACTTAATTCGAGTTGTAGAATCATCAGCACAGTCGGCTTACACTTCTAGAACCGGCTCTATAGCCGGTTTAAGGAAATCTGCAACCAGCTTTGCGGGCTCCCTGCACATTCTGTTTTCTCTGTAGAGCAGGCTGCAAAACGTAAAGCCGGCTTTGCGGGTTTTCTACACATTCTTTTTTCTTGAACAATCGGCTGCAAATCAAAAAGCTTGCTTTGGGATTCCAACTTTAAACACATTAAATAATTTTCAAATAACTCGATTGTTGTGCATTAAATGCACCCTTACAGTCGGCTGCAAAGTCAAAGTCGGCTTAGCATCCGTTTTCCCTGTGCACCAAACAACGGATTTGAAAGTTTCACCCGTAAAGCCGGCTCTTAAAAGCTGCAGCCGGCTCTCTGCATTTTTGCCTTCCAGAGCCAACTGCACATTTTCTTAAGCCGGCTCTTTGCACATTTCAGCCTTTTGGTCCATTTTTAATGCAGTCCAAGTTCACTTACTTTGCAATCTTTTGACATTTTAACTACATACTTAAATGAACCAATTAATCAATCAAATGTGTTTTGTAATCATCAAAATCCTAGGTACAACAGTATATCATTAGTCAATTTTCACTCAAATGTCTATTTTGCAAGTTTGATGAAAAACATACCATTCGTATCGGAACTACAAATTCAAAAAAAAATTACACTATCATTGTCCTTTTCAATGAATGGAACAATAATTAGTATGGTGATAATTAGTATTGTGAAAAGAGCTTTTTGGCTCTAAAAGCACAAGCTTCACCAAACAAGTCAGCTTCTCAAACGTGTTGCAGCTTTTTAGAAGCTCATCTTTTCCCCGTTCCTTTACAAAGCCTAGAAGCACCAATTTCTTGCTTCCGCGGGAGCTTCTTGCTTCTGCGAGAGCTTCTCGCTTCATGTTTAATGAAATTGACATGGTATTCCCATTTTATCCTCACACTTCCTTTTATTTACAAAAAAACCAGTATATAAGGGTTCATTTTATAACTCCTTGTTCTTTCCCCTTTCTTTGTCTCTAAAGCAGCTGGACGTGCATTGTTCTCCCTCCCTTCTTGCCCACCTTCTTCCAAAACAGACCAGAAATATAAAAGTATCGTCAATCATCGACCTTCTTTCTCCCTAACTACTTCAAAGTAGAAAAACCCATTTCCCCTCACCGGAAAATCCCCATTGGAAAATCCCCACCAAAATCCCATTTCTCCTCCTTCTTCTGTGAGTCTCCCTTCTTTTCTCTGATTTTTTTTCTTTTTTTGGTGTTTCTACTACTAATTTGGTGGTGGTGAATGATGATTATTGGTTGGTATCCTTTGTCATTCCTTGTCTTCTTGCAGATCTGCACAACGCAACGAAGCGGCATAGGTCTATGAAGCTGAACAAAGTGGCAATATCGAAGGGAGTGAAGCGGAGGGTATTCCGGCCACGGGACTTGACAATAACTTTGGATTCTTGAAGCATTTTGGGAGCAAGTACAAGCTCGGGGAGGAGCTTGGGAGAGGCCATTTTGGTTATACTTGCTCAGCCAAGTTCAAGAAAGGGGAACTCAAAGGACAATAAGTTGCTGTTAAGGTTATATCCAAAGCGAAGGTAAGCTTGTAGTTCATTATTTTGCATGCTTACTACTTAGTATATGCTTGATTTCTTGGTTCGACTATATGTTTTTGATAGTATAGATATGAGATCTGCTAGTAAACCTCTGCTTTTATCAATCCTGTACTATGATAAGTTTACTTGATTGCATTTATTAATATGCAAGAATGGATTGTGTATTGAATTATTGGTGGCAAAATTTTTTGAATTGGGAACCTTGGATTGGAGATGTAGTTGTAGTATGTGTTGATTTGCCTTTTTTTCTCAAGATAAAAATTGATCTTTCTTTTTAATCTTTTGGGGGAAGGGGAATTGTGTCATTCCATTATCTTCCTTTTTATTTTCCAATGATTTTTTTTTCTTTTTAAGACATTAAAGTATCGACTGAATTCTGGATTCATGTTCTATGAACTTCTTCTTTAGGCTTTTATACTTTTTTGGTGGGTTAGCTTGATCAGCTTCATTCCAAAACATGAATCTTCTTAGAGATCAATGATTGATTAATAATTATAAATATCTGTTATAATTGCATTTGTTACAAAAGGTGAATCAATGATTGTGAATTATTACAAGAAATCACGTGAAATTAGCATTTGGAGTTTCTATAGAAATGCTTAACAACTTGACAACATGTCTTTGATGATACCTCTTTGTCATTGTTGTTATTTTTCAATCTTCCATGTTTCATTCTGTTTTATGGTTACTAATGATGTAGATGTCTTCCCATTCTTTAATGTCATTGAGATTGATAGGTGGTTTTGGTGAAAAAAAAAAATACCCATATTTTTTATTTAAAAAGAAGCTGAAATTTTGTTGCTAGTTGTTGAAATAAAAATAAGGTTAAATACCCTTTTTGGTCCCTCTACTATAGGAAAAAGCCCCTTTTTAGTCCCTATACCGAAAAAATCCCCTTTTTGATCCTTACTGTTTGAAATCCGACCCTTTTTTAGTCCTTCTGTCAGTCAAGTGACAGCATGTCACAATTATCCGTTAAATGTCTTTTTTTTTTTCTTTTTAATGGTGACATGGGATTACACGTGGCAAAATTGATGAGTTGGC